GACCGCGGGGGCTCTGAGCGCCTCACACGGCTGCCTGCGCCGGCGTGGGTCAGTGGTTTGGCTTCTGTTGGCACAGGTACACAGGAGTCGCTTGCCACGCGTCTCCTCAAGGACGAGCTGCTGGTTTAGTTTCCCAAAGGCAGCACGTGGCCGCCAGGAACAAAGCGGAATCTTGTGCGGTTCAGTAGTGACCGCATCGCCCCAAACAGGCACTTAGAAAGGAGAGGCAGGAATTGATCGGTCCTGTTTCACGTGGCGTTCAGCCCTTGAAGCGCTCCCCTACCTCCTGTCTGGGGCGCGCGGGGATGTGATTTGACATTTCCAAGGCAGACAGCAGACCCAGCTGGCATGAGGCAGCCTGCATCGTCTTCCAGCCGATTCAGCTTCAGTGCCTAGGTAACTCAAAACTAAGCTTAATTACTGGAGAGAGAGTTGCTCAGCACAGCAGTGGCCTTACCCTGCACCGAGGGCTGGGCAGGGTGTAGTGCGGGCCTGACAGACCTGCACCCCTGCAGCCAGGCCTGGCAGGTGGGGTCCTGCTACCCCCAGGGACAGCATGAGCCAAAAGGTGAGTGGGGCTGTGGCCCACCCCTTTCAGCACTAGTGTGGTCTTACACCAAGTTCAAGCTGAACTTCACCTACACTACATCACTTTGCAGTTGCTGTCCCAAGTTCAGATGCCAGGAGGCTGTTACACTTAAGCTTTCTTTGCATTTATATTAAAAAAAATATATAACCAAAATGTGGAGGATAAATTTATTGGCTTGTCTTGGTAACTTGGTGCTGGGTATTCATGGTTTGTCATTTCTTCCCTTTTTTGGTTCTAGGCCCTAATTCCTACATGCCTTTGCAGAAGATTTTCTTAAGCTGTAGTTTGTGTAGTTTGTTCATCTGACAGCTCATTGCTCAGAACATGGCCTTAATCACTTTCTTTGTGGTAGGACTAGCATCGGTAAGATCCTTCTACGAGCTGCTGTACATCGTTAAAATGGCATAAAGCTATCATTACACAACTCTACTGGGTTGCCAGGGCAGCCTGCAGAAGATTCAGTGAACACCTGAAGCTGTGTAAGGAAACAAAAGTAGTTTTCCCAATTTTCATTTGCATGTCAGTCTGAGAGAGGCATCCAGCTTCCTGTCAATCTGTAGCTTGATCTGTAGCTTGTATTTGGTTATCACAGTTGGGAGGAAGCTCGGAAAACACTGTGATCATAGGGCTGCACATATGAGTAACGTGAATACAATCTCTGATACAATTTTTTTTAAAAGAGTAAATATGGATCACATTATTTAATGGTGGCTGTAACTAAGGAGCTCAGACAAAAGTAAAACTAATCAATCTAGTTAGAAAAATAGTGCATTTAATTATTCATGTTAAAATACATTGGGTAAAGTAACTGTGATTCCTCTTTCTTGGCAGATTTCAGATACACAATGCAGAAGAGGTTTCCGTCAATTCTGGAAGGTAGGTTTGTAGTTGTTGGCTTCATCAGAAGGATGCCTGAAGCTTCTGTTGCATCTTATGTATACAACCAACTTAATTGCTTAGAACTTACCCCCGGAGACACTGCAGAAGTGTTTGTTGTTGGGCACAGGTGTGACTGGAGTGTTGGACTATTGGATAAGAGTCCTCAGCACTGAAGGACTACAAATCCAATAAAACTAAAACTAGCCCCAGAGTGGCTTGCCTTCAGACAGGCCTAACGTACAGCTGACATGGATTTTACTATTTTTCAGTGTATTACAAATCCAACGAGTGGTCTGGAATTCATGGCATAAGGGAGAATGACCAAATGGCATGGTTAAGCAGCAAGAAATGAAGTAAGAAAGATTCATGATTAATTAAAAAATTATTTTAGAATAATTATTGTAAGAATGTCCACATTAAAATGTCCATTTCATCTTTTTGATTTCTTGCCTTTGTATTTGTTTTTCAGCCCTCTGTGCCTGAACTGTTTCTTCTTTTTGATGATGCTTTTCACATCCCTGTTGTGAAGCCACTTGTCACGCTCTATTTCCCACTGGATCTGTTTGACATCTGTAAGAGAAAAGGTGAGAAATAAGGAGCCAGTGGATAACTCTGACCATGATGTGGAATATAGATGAATCATGTAAAAGTTAGAACTTGGCTGCTGTGTTTACAAATGTTAATAAAGTACAAGCTGCTTGGGTTTTTTTGACACCAGAGAAGGTTTTAGGGTTTTTTCATTTCACAAAACATACCCTACTATCTCGGAATCTCAGAGTTTAAGACCACTCTTGCCATTGCTTTGTGTTTTACTAAAGCTAGACACACTTGTGTTAGGACACCATGTTTGAGTGCTGTGGTTAACATTTTTCAGGTGACACCAGGAATACTTTTAAGAGATCAACAAAGGACTGATTATTCAATCAGTACATACATGTTATTCATTAGAATTTTTTCTGGGAAACTACTTTTGCTTCACTGATACTGCAAGGAAATACTCTAGTAGGTAGGAAAAGACAGCAATGCCTTATGCTTTCCCTTCACAAGAATCCAGAGGACACTTTATCAGAGCAAAATTCACACAAATGCTTGACAAACAGCATGCTGCCCACCCTTATTTACAGCACAAAAGGGCCACATAACAGCCTCTTCCTCCTTTCTGAAGCCTTATTCGCTCCAATAGTCATATTTAATATGAGCACTGGGTATCTCTCATAATGGAAGAAAACTAAGTCATGTCTTACTGACACTGAGCTACTGTCCCTACTGTGTGATTTCTGACCGTGTGTGTATTGCAATTAAAGAAGGTACATCTTTTTATGTAGAGAATCTGAAGAGAAAGAAGTCAAACAGCATTACAACTATTTGTAGCATTTACTTACTTGCATTATCTCTGTTGGCCATTGCGTTCATTCCAATATTGTCAAACTTAGACCCAGCATTTTCATCCAGCAGATAGCCAAACTTTAAAGAGAGAAGTGTTAGTATTTTATTACTAAGAAACAGGTAAAATGCTCAATCACTTTTTGCTAAGCACTGATCAAACTCACCTCTTCTGCAGATGCCAGTATACTGGCATCTTTGAGATTTCTCTTCTTTCCCCAGTTGGATCCTTCAAACAAAAAGTAGTATTCTTAAAAACAGAATTTCAAATTCACAGAGACACTAAAAGTGTCACCATGTTTTTAATTTTTTTTCATTATTAATGAGAACATCTAAAATAGCTGTGTTAGAAACCTTTATTCTCTACCTCCCTTAAAAAAAAAAGGAAAAAAGTTTCCAACCAAGAACTAAATAGCACAAATCTGTGCATGTATTAGTAATACATGCACAAACCACCTCTACAACTCCAGCCTTCATCCAAAAGTTTCTCCTTCCATTCCCAGTCACAGAATCATCTAGGTTGGAAAAGACCTTGAAGATCATCCAGTCCAACCATTAACCTAACACTGACAGTTCCCAACTACACCATATCCCTCAGCGCTATGTCGAGCCGACTCTTAAACACCTCCAGGGATGGGGACTCCACCAGCTCCCTGGGCAGCCCATTCCAACGCCTAACAACCCCTTCTGGAAAGAAATGCTTCCTAATACTGAGTCTAAACCTTCCCTGATGCAACTTGAGGCCATTACCTCTTGTCCTATCACTTGTTACTTCGTTAAAGAGACTCATCCCCAGCTCTCTGCAACCTCCTTTCAGGGAGCTGTAGAGGGTGATGAGGTCTCCCCTCAGCCTCCTCTTCTCCAGACTAAACACCCCCAGTTCCCTCAGCCGCTCCTCGTACGACCTGTGCTCCAGACCCTGCACCAGCTTCGTTGCCCTTCTCTGGACACGCTCGAGTCATTCAATGTCCTTTGTGTAGTGAGGGGCCCAAAACTGAACACAGCAGTCGAGGTGCGGCCTCCCCAGTGCTGAGTACAGGGGTAAGATCCCTTCCCTGTCCCTGCTGGCCACGCTATTGCTGACATAAGCCAGGATGCCATTGGCTTTCTTGGCCACCTGGGCACACTGCTGGCTCCTGTTCAGCCGGCTGTCGATCAACACCCCCAGGTCCCTCTCTGACTGGCAGCTCTCCAGCCACTCCTGCCCAAGCCTGTAGCGCTGCTGGGGGTTGCTGTGGCCCAAGGGCAGCCCCCGCCATTTGGCCTTATGGAAACTCCTCCAGTTGGCCTCAGCCCATGGCTCCAGCCTGTCCAGGTCTCTGTGCAGAGCCTCCCAACCCTCGAGCAAATCAACACTCCCACCCAACTTGAACAGTTCTTCAACAGCAGATTGTCACTCTGAATTAAGCTACATTAGTTGGAGAATAACCTTCATTTATGGTTTATTCAAACCTGAACACAGATCCAAAAGTGTATATAATCTACTGTACTAAAAC